TGTGGATGCACACGAACAAAGGGAGTTGTCCAGGTTTAGTATCAACATTTCAACTGACTGAGCACCAAGAACAATTGAGCAGGATTTTCTGACATATTGATTCACATGCCACTTTAATCATAACACGGTGTATCATTCTTTATTTGAAAGCAAAGAAATTAAGCTTTTTTGTGTTTTTGTGTCTGTGTACATGCAGAGATATACCTATACTTTCTAGAGACATAGTGTCAGGCAAAGGACCTCATAATACTGATCCCCCCCTCGCTTTGGTCCTGTTTTACCAGAAATCACTGGTGAAATGGAAGTTGCACCTGACACCTTATAGTGCGCCTTGCACCCTCCCTCCTTCCCCTGTTACAAGTGGGCTTTGGAACAAGACACGTTGGTGCCCTGTCCCTTTTCTCATCAGACAGGAGAAAGCATGGCAAAGCATGTTGCTGCATTGCTGCATTGCTTTACCCCCCCCCCCCCCCATCAGATGAGGAGAAGCCCAAAAAATGTGAACTCAGTTGGAGCTACCCAAAAGACAGATCACAAACCGTGGTGGGTGAGAAAGCTTCTTGTAATGCTTCTTTGCCACTTCARCCATCAATGGGGCAGGGCCATAGCCTGCATCATATGATGGGATTCCTCAGGATATATGAYCGAAGAGGAGTAAGAGGCCAAAAAACCCCTGTGTGATGAAGTGGTAAGGCTCGCAGTTATCTCTTTTTCTTGTTTTCTCATTGTTACTGGTGATTATTGCAATGTCATTGAGTATATAGCTCAGATGACTGGGGGAACATTTACCCTGAATCTTTATCCCATGTATTATCTGGAGTGGTAACTTCTAGATTGGCCCAGGAAGGGTTTTGACCACCAGGCCTCCAGCCACTGCAGAGTGGGGAAAGAGCCCCGATTATCCAGACATGGTTCAGTGCTGCTAGCTGGCCCTTCCTGCTCTCATCATAGCAGTGACCAGTGGGTGCAACATAGCTTATGTTGGTTGCCCATTGCCTGAAATGACATCAACCAGGCTGCCAGAGTGGTATGGTAGAGGAAAGGGAGAAATCACCTCCTCTCCCCTCCCCTCTTCTCTAATCTAATCACCCTGGCATCCAGTCAACTTCACTCAAGGAGATAAGCAGTGGACACTAGCCATATCACACCCATTAGCCATTTCTATGAAGAGTACAAGACAGGGACATTGAGTGTTATCTTGTGTTCCCCTAGCCATCTGAGGTTTTGAAATATAGGATGGTAATGGTGGTGATGATGATAATAATAATAATCTTTATTTCTAAACCACCCTCTCTCCCCAAGGGAACTCAGGGCGGTTTACACACAAAAAGGCAAACATTCAGTGCCCAAACAAGTACAAATACATCAAAGCCAATATGACATAATACAAAATAATAACAACAGTGAACTATTTGCATGAAGAAATTAAACATCAAAGATGAAAAGCAGGATACATATAAACACATAAAACAAACTGCATTAAAAGCATGTTCATTACCTTGATGGCCAGGGAAACAGTTGCTGTTAGAAGTGGACTGACTGTTTACATGGGCTCATAGTTATGATTTTCACTGAGTTCACAGGAAGAATTAGGAGTAAGTCATGTTAACCCAAATCAGATGTGTGCCTTGCTACTGCTATAGAGGTGATTTGCCACTGCTATAGAGGTGATTTGCTATAGCCTTCCTTTTTTATTTTAAATTTTTGGGGTTCCTGACGCTCAAAAACAGATGCTCAAAAACAGTCTAGGTCTATCCTTGGCTTATCAGGTGGCAGGTTCCATGCCCTCTTTTTAAAATATTTTGCATAATGCAACCAGTTTTTTCTCTCTCAGTCAATCTATCATAACTATTGTACAGGTTGTGGTTGTACTGAAACACTGATGTGCATGTGACCCTCTTCCCTCACTCCCTTTAGTACAGCCATTTCAACTCTCCTATTAGTGGATAGAAGTTGCTTTTTAAAAAGCAGCCAATTTCATACTTGCATGTTCATTACAAAACAAATTGAAATAGTTGTATATATTTTTCGGTATGAAATTAACAGCAGTTAAATCTCTGTGGGCCTGTGTTTATAGATCCTATTACAAAGAAGTAATTAGAACTAAAATTACCATAGGAATAGAAAGGGAAGTAGAACAAAGTGCAAAATAAAGATAAATTGCAGGAAGAAATAAGCCTATGCTTTGCATTTAAGAAGACATAAAATGTTATATGTCCAATGTATTGAACCTTTAGGTATGTCTGTGCGTTTGCTGTCTAACATACTAAAGTATTTAAAGTGCTATGCCACAAACAAAAAAAGTTATTTTGATTCCAGCGTTTTTATGTGTTGAAAAAGTCTCCCTTTAAAATGCTCAACTTCATTTTAAAGTAGAAATTTTCACACTTCAATTCCTTTATATTCTGGGTAGAAAGACTGCCAAGACCCAGAAGCCTTAAGTAGAGCCAAACACAAGTTAGAAGGTTCAAACACAGCTTTATTACACAAAAAGAGTCTTTCAAAGCACTTAACTTCAGTGCAGTGAACTAAGGTAGTAATTTGGCATCAAAAACGAAGCGATACCAGCAACAAAAATATATCTATATATATATCGCTGTTTAATCCGGGTTAACAGAAAAGTTCAGCAATCTGCTTCAAAGTTCACACAATTCAAAAAACACAGTCACAGGAGACAAAAAAAACGTAGTCCCAAAATGATGCAAGAGCCAAACACGAAGTTAGCAATAGAGAAGTCCAAGAGACAGAAGCGTTGGTCAAACCGGTCCGTAGTCAAGCCATTGAGTGAAGGTAAACACGGGAGCACAGGAACACAGCAACACAGGAATCTGTAGTCCAAGGACCCAAGCTCGAGAGTTGGTAGTAACAAAGATTCACATCCCAAAAGAGACACTTTGCCTTCTGCAAAGAGCCATACAACCAAAACCCACTTTTATCCTAAAGCTCCTCATTAGAGGATGATGAGCTCCCCACCCTTTCCTCATCGCTCTCAGCTGCCTCCATCCCTGCAGCTGAACCCGAGCACCCATCTCTCCACCTCTGCCAGCGTTTGTCAAGACTTAGGTCTTGCCAAGTGCTCCCCGGTTGCCAATCCCCTGTGAACCTCTCAAATTCATCACTGAAGGTGGGTTGGTTATAAATGTCCCTAATCTCTTGAACATGGGTCCAATCCATACTCCTCTCCCATATAACTCCCAGACCCATCACTCCTTTCAAACCCCATGATATCCTCGTCCTCTGTAGGAGCGCTAAGTATTTCCCGGATGCGCTTCCTCTGAAGCTCCTCGTCAGACTCTTGATTGCGAGTAGCCTGCTTTACTCCCCTGCTCTCCTCCCCATCCCCCATTTCACAATCGGAGAAGCCCTCAAACGTCTCAGAATCACTTGGGGCCATGATTATCTCCCTAATCCGCTTTTGCTGCTCCTCCTCTAACACCTGCACAGACCTCTTCTCCCTTCTACCAGTAGTAGTAACGTTACCATCACCCTGAACTACAACAAATACATTTTTGAATTTTAATACATTCTTATTTTAAAGCATGAACTAAAGAAATCTCACTAACCGCTATAGCATTGTATGTTTTTCATCTTACTAATAAAGAGTAGCATCCTTTCATTTTGCAGTGATTCAAAGATGTTTTATAGTAGTCTATTAATTTCAGTTAATTCCCTGTAAATTTGATAGATCGTTAGTATTAATACAGAGGTGTAACTGTCTAGGGCTGCATGCTCCACTATATTGTACCTCCAGAGTCAATATATCTATACCTATGACCAGCAGTGGGTCTTTCAATAAACATTTGAGTGACCATTTGGTGAAAAGATTACCAGACTAGAAAGGCACATAGTGAGTTGAAGAAGTGAGCTGCTGGACCAGGTGAAGAGTCGAATCAGTTCGGTATCCTGTTTCCAACAGGGGTATCAAGATGTTTGCAGGCAACAACAGGGCTGTGTTAGCTCTACAAAAAAAAGGCATAGTGTACATTGTACATGAAGATAACATAACATCTATGGCTAATAGTGTTTCTATCCTACATCTTGTATAAAATCTGTCTCTTGGCCTAGTCAATGTTCATTATAAATATTTGAACAATAAAGAAGAGCACAAGCACAATGTTCCAGATTTGCCCAGACTTCCGATTGGTGAAGCATAATACACGTGCAATGCCAGGAAGCATAAACAAGAGTGTGAATTTTCTTTGAATCCTGTAGTACAGGTTAAACATTCCTTATCCAAAATGATTGAGACCAGAAATGTTTTGGATTCAATTTTTTTCTGGAGTTCGGAATACTTACGGTATATTTGCATATATATAAATACATACTGAGATAACCTGGAGATGGGATCTAGGTCTAAATACAAAATTCATTTATATTTCATATACACCTCATACACATAGTCTGGAGGGAATTTTATGCACATTGTTTTTAGTAACTTTGTGTTTGAGTCAAACTGTGTGTAGTACATTGAAGCAGCGGAAGTACAAATTTCACTATTTCAACAACCCATGTGGGCAATTTTAGATTTTGTGGAATATTCCAGATATTCCAGAATTCTGGATAAGAGATTCTCGACATGTAATACCCAATGGTTACTGCTCAGCAAATTTACCCAGGGTTGATTTTTTAAAGAATGAGAGAGTATTTTTTAAAAAAAGGTTCTCTGCATTTCATAATGTTCACATGACAAATAAATTGAAAATCCCTCTTGTTTTAAACACAATTGCCTCCCAACAATCTCAAACTGTGCAGTTGATTGTACCATGGTTACAGAGCCAACCTTATAGAAAAAAAATGAAAAACAAATTTGAAGTATCATTATTTAGTAGATTTTTTTCATCTCTGAACTTCTAGTCATATTGAAGCATTATTCCAGCTCATTAAGTAACCTTTTTTCTCTTTGCTTTGGTCCCAAGTGAATAAGTACCATTTTCTCTCCTTTTTTTTATTCCCTCCTTTCCTTTTAAAATTTGGGTGAATTTTACATTTTTTTTCTACAGGCAAATCCTTGCAGCTGCAAAAAGGGCTGGCCAAGTTGGGCATTTTCTGTGGGTGGCATCAGATTCTTGGGGCTCCAAAATGAGCCCCATATTTCACCATGAAGATGTTGCTGAGGGAGCCATTACCATTTTGCCTAAACGTGCAACAATAGAAGGTAAGGGTTTCATTTTAATTCTCTCACTGTGCCTTTTCTCCTCTTCATCCTCCTCCAATTTTGTAGATGTTTTATGCACATGTACACTGTGGACCTGACTGTACTGAAAGATATATCTAACACCATGTGAGATTCAGAGGAACAGCATCAATAGAACTTAATTTGAGAGAAATCATCTTCCTTATGGTATGTGCACATATGATACAAAAAGGGACTGAAGTTTGTTATTTCCACAGCTGAAAATTTGTCATCATTTTGGAACAACTTTAGAAGCTTGCAGGCTGCACTCTGATTTACTTCTATTTTTAAGAGGAGTTGCATGAAATGTCTGGCTCACTGACAGTGATGACAGAACATTGTATATTCACAGTTATATTCACAGAATGGCTATAGTAAAGCATATATGCCTAAGGCAAGTGCTTGTTAAATGCACCGTTGGCCATCAGTGACCAACAAGAGGTTTTAGTTAGGGGTTACATCCAGTTTATATATTCAACTATAATGATTATGGTTATGTCTTCCAACTCCTGATCAGTGATGCTGTGCCACGGATTTCCTATGTGAGAAAGGACCTGAATTAGATAACATTTGAAGCTACTTCCAACTATCAACTTCATCAGATAGAGTAAAAGTCATTGATATAAGCCAGTTCCTCATCACTTTTGTGATGGATCCTATCCCATAACATACATCTACTGCTGGCAGGGCTCTCTAGCAAAACTGAAGAGGAACCGGCATATGCTGCCATGGCGGCAACACAGGAGCCTTCCCATGTTGCAATGGCAGCAAACACTTCCCCCATGGAATGGGGCCTGGGGTAAGTCAGATGATGTGGGGCATCAGGCGATGGGTTCTTCATTCCCCCCACTGGGCATTGTGGGATTTTCCACAATCCATGGTGATTCTGGCAGCACATATGAGGTCCTTTATTATTCCCTTACTTGTGTGGATACCGCTTTATTTGCAAAGCCTCTCACAAAATCTAGAAACAATTCCCTTCCATGGTTATTCACAGCCACTTGCTCACATATTGTGAAAGTGACACCCAGCCCCTTTGGAAGGTTTATAGACATGCTGTTGGGATTTTGAGCAATAACTTGCTATACATATAACATGATGCATACATTTTTAGATTTGGTGTGACAGCAGCTTCAGAGGCAGCAAGTGTCCCAAGTACAAAAAAGAGAGAGAGTGTTTGGGGAGTCATGCAGAGAAAAAAAACACTTGAAGAACCTAAATCTTATAGTTGGACCCATCCACACAGTACCTTTATCCTAGGAGTTCAAGGTTCAAAATAGAGGGTGGTTAGACAATGTCAGCTGAAAACATGGGAGAAATCGCTACAAAGCCAAAAATCTGTGAGATAAAAATGTATGGGAATATCCCAGTTCTGGCCAGACGATTTGGATCTTCGAATCTCCGTATGTCCTTTGCACTCAGAAAATACTGGGTTTTTAATGTTGATTTGATCCCGGGTTATAAATGTTGGTTCCTCATTGCTTCTATTATAAAAAAAATGGAAAAGTTGATTGCACAACAAAAACTTTGTGTGTCACACACTTTGATAAATGGGTGAATGGCCATGGCCTTCTTTCCACAACATAGTTTTTGCCCTGTAATCAAATTTTGCCAGTTTTTTGAAATGACAGAACGAATGAGGAACCAACATTTATAACCCAGGAAAAAAACTCGTACAAATGATGCACATATTTGCATCAGCACATTATTATTATTATTATTTTAAAAAAATAGCTACTGGAATTTCTGGTGGATGCCCCACAGCAGCCAGTTTGTAGGCTTCTAAATATTGGAACAAACCAGCAAGTCCAAATGTCGTAGGCATAAATCCTGGGAGCAACAATTCTTCATGCGGATTGTCTTAAAAAACATGAAACATGGAACGTATCCTTTATAATATGGATAAGAACACTGCTACCACTATTTGTTTATCAACAAGACAAAGGGTTTTTCTACACTCTGTATATTCCACAGAGAAGAGCAGTATCGGGCTGTGATTCTTCACACTTTCATAATCTCTTGGGAAATTATTTTGTGCAGGAATATACTTTTTTCCTTGGAAAGTTTGCTTTTTTGTTCACTTGTTAAGAGAAAAAACCTTTCTATATGACAACTACCATTGCAAATGTACAAAAATAACATCTGCAACATGCAAGGATGCAAAATGTGTTACATCTGTCCTTACTTTCTTTGTGGCTTAAGTTGTGCTCTTCTCATGGAGAGTAAGAGCCTAAAGAAGAGAACTTCTCCCTGAAGCTCTTTCACAGTGCAGAACCCCGATTTTGCAATGTTTTGAATTGTGTGGAGAACCTTCATGAAAAGAGAATGAACTTATTCTTCAGAGTGTCATTCTCTATGCATGAGACTACCATACTTCTTCCCCTTCATGTTTGTAGGCTGCCTGGTTTCATAATCCCACTAAGGTTTCTGTGTAAAGAAGAAATGACCTCTATTACTACGTGTCTTTATTTCTTTTACCTCCTAGGCCAACTCTTTAAAGAGAGCAAAGAGACTAATCTGCATGGTAAAATGAGATCTGTATATCTTTCTAACTCAAAGCAAGATCAAATATTTGCATTCTTTTTATTAAGTACATTCTGCTATTGTACTACTTATTATTCTCAGATGTATTAGAAATTCTGGCTTTTAAACTTTATATTACACCAAAAAATTTAAAGGAGCAATTTTATTTGTGAAAACCCATTAACACATCATTTCATCTCTTTCCTACATGTTCTACTGTAATAATTGATCATTGAACTGTTGTGTTAGGTGCATTGCTATGCCCATTAATGCATTCCAATGAGGCAAAGGGGTTGTTATGAATATAAATTGATACAAAGTTTTGGATACAGAGCTCAGACCAATATAATACTGTGTTATTGTTGTTATTTGCCATTAGGTTAGCTTTGACTGATGGTAACTCTATGAATGAGAGACAACTCCAAGATCCCTGGTCATCAACAGTACTAAGGTCTTGAAAACTCAGGGACATGTTTTCATGTATTGAAATAATTCCTCTATAATGTGGTTTTAGGACCCCACTATTCTACTATAGTTGCATTGTTATTGATAGTGGATACATACCATGTTGAATACCTTAGATATCATTCCTCTCTTCAATAGCATAATTGTCTTGATTTGCCAAACCATTATCCTACAGCCTTGTGGACTCAGCCTTCTTGCACTACTCTCTCTCTCTCTCTCTCTCTCTCTCTCTCTCTCTATATATATATATATATATATATATATATATATATATACAGAGAGAGAGAGAGCATAACACCACCGTAATTCCAGAATTTTTCAAAAGGTAAACATGAAAATAAAATATAAAAGTAAAAGTAAACCAGCCAATTTGAGAAGAGCAAGGGACAAAGAGGAGGATAATCCTACCCTCAATGTCACTTTACTGCTATCATGCTTGAAGGGCCCACTATGCCATGGTATATGACAGGGATGCTGTGGGATTAGGAATTATTGATGGGTTTACTCATTAATAACTAGGGATAGGAGAATTGTAGGAAAGAGACAGACGGGCAATAGGATAAACATACCATTATGCAATAGAGATCATCAACAAAGGTGACAGTCCAGTTGCAATGCTGATTTGTCAGCCTCATGTGATGAAGTCCTTACTCTTTTCCTATTGCTTTTCATTTTACCATGAACCATTATCTTTTCCACTGAATCATGCCTTATGATGCTATGTCCAAAATACAACAGTTTCTAGTCATTTTGGCTTTTAGGAGAATTGTGTCACAACTTGGGCTTGGATCTATTTATTTGCATTTTGGCAAATAACTCTATAATTCTTCTCCAGTCTGGTATTTGAAATGAAATATAATCCCTATTTCACTTACCACCATACTGGCTCCCTCTTAATTGGTAACAATTGCCTGGAACATGATCACTTCTTTAGGGACCTGCAGTTTTGCATGCTTGAGAAACTTTATTCCCTAGAATGATATGACCCTGCTTTTAAAAGAAATAAATTAGATATTGAGATTTGACACATTAGTCCCTCATGATCTCAATATGGACTTAGGGTATATCTATCTACTTCAAGTTTTCACATACCCCATAACTTTTCACTCTGCATTGTAAAATTGCTGTGATAAGGATGTCCTTGGTTCAGGATGAAAAAAAAATGGGATAGTATAATGCTCTGCCTCCTCCTTCTCAAACTCTCAGGACCCAGGCAAAAGCTTTTTAAAATCCCTGCAGGCGGTTTTAAAGTTGCACTGTAAGTAATATTTTGTACTTGTACAAAATTATTTGGGTTAATAGGCATATTTAAAATTGAGGTATTTTACCTAATCTTAATACAAGAAATATATATACATAAAATTGGAATTGAAAATTGCAGCTTTTCTCTAATTGTAGTTTTTGTTGTTTGGATTTTGTTCATTTTCTTTCTTTTATCTTTTAACGGTCCCTGAAGAAGGCCATTAAATATTACTACACTAAAATGTGATTGCAAAAATAAAATAATCTTACCTAACATATTGAGACTTTGTCTCAATTCCACATTCCTGTCATTGGGTGTTACCTGTTCCCTGTACTTAACATATATGCTAGCTTTTTCTTTATTCCTAGATTTGAGGGATGGAAGCGAAAGCTAACTAAAATAATAAAGTCTACAGTGCCTACAAGGTCTGAATCCCATTGACAGTCCAACAACAGTAGACTCATTGAATCAATAGAATTGATTCATTATTAGCACTAGATTAAACATCAGGGTGAACTTCTTGATGGTAAGTGCAGTTCAACAGTAGAATACGCTGCTTTGAAAGTGAAGTCTCCTTCTCAGGAGGTTTCTAAACAGAGGCTGGGTGGTCATTAGTTAAGAACACTTTGTGTATTCCTGCATGGCAATGGGTTGGACTGATTGACCCCTGGTCTCTACCAATTCTATTATTCTATGAAGGCATCTATTTTAATGTATTTATTTAATTCATATCTCACCGGCTCAGGACTCA